ATGTTGTTTAGAAAGCAGAGAATAGAAGCATTTGGAGATACTGCAGGTTCAGTTCCAGATGACTGTAATAAAGCAAGTATCAAAATAAAGTGAGCTATAATCTTTTTCCTTCAATTTGCAAACCTATGAAGCGCAATAAAGTGAATCGCAATAAAATGAGGTATGTCTGTAGTTTGGTGGCTGGTATTAATGAACTATCTTAAGAAGGCAGCCCCTGCATGTAGTCCTTGCCCTACATAGCTGAGGAATGTTATAAGGGGCTATGGCCTTGATCATTTTTGCCATATCTAAGTGCCACCTCTATACTTTTTTCTTTAAAACTCATGACCACTTAACGTGTGCACACACAATTTTTTCTAAGATGCCTCAAAATAAGTGCATTACTCTTAAAAATAAAAGTGCTCATGTACACTAAAGGTACATACAGTGCTCTGTGGGAAGCATGGGCTAATGAATGATCAATGTAAAACTTAGCTTTAACAAAAGACAACTACATAATCCTGATGGGAACCAGCTATTCACCTGTGCCAATGGTCTTTTATCTTGCTTTTGAATGGTATCTGTTTCAAGAAAGCTATTCTCCTCACTTGTCTAATAAGGGAGTAAATTAGGAGTTGAAGGCTAAAGTACTCTCAGAGCATCAAGAGCGTCTTATTATCTCAATTTACCAAGATCTAAATACAGAGCATGTGTTCTGGCTTATTGTTTACGAGTCAGTCTATGTTGATAAGGAGAACAAGGGGATATTTACTAGAGTCTGAACAGAATGCCTAGCAAACAACTAGAATTCCATTAGGTGACTGACTCTTTTTCATAATCAAAGAAAACAGGCCATTCTAACACTTAAATTTGTAGCTTATAAATGAATTTTATACATCATTTAGTCAAAGTACTTGATCTCTGTGCTTGTTTGTGAAATAGTGATAACAGTAGATTGGGTTAATACACAAAGTGCTATTTAAAGATAATTTTTGAAAATAGTTCCTCACTAGTTAAGTTAAAAAAAAAAGAATACTAGTGCTCTTATGTTCCAGAAAACACAGTAACAATATAGAACCAAGATTGAGAAAATTACTTGAAGTATATTCTGCAAAGCCATCCTCTCCCAGTTCCAGAATCATCCGCTGTTTCCACCTCTCCAAATAGAAAATCTGTTCTGATGTCATGGTCTGCTGAAGGACCCGGGTCACACTTGGTATCTTATTCCTTTGCAAAGGGATTTTCAAAGGAACTGTAGCATCATTTGCTGTATTTGGTTTTAAGCTTCTCTCTGGATTGAAGAGTGGAGACCAGTTTCCTGTAACTCTTGCTTCCCCATCTTGCTTTGGGGGTTTACACTTACTCACAGGTCCATAGAGTAAAGTATCTTCCTCAAACAATGATTCTGGAGTCTGAGCACTGCCTCTGAATGACAAGACAGACTGTACTAAATCAGAGTACTTTTCTTGGTCCACTTCTTCATAAGGGTTCATTTTTTTCCTCCGGCCACATGAGTAAGAGGAAGTGGAGAAACCCACACACGGGGCTGGTTCTACAAAAAACCCCTTTGAACTTCTAAGCTGCCTGCAGACGGTCTGAACCGCCTTCATCTTAGATTTTTTTCACTTCACTATAGTCTCCTTGCAATGCCGAGGGCCTTTTTTACTTTTTGCATTCCTATTAAAGAGAAAAGTGGTGTTAGGTACCAGATGTGTTAAACATTTGAACTATGAAGTGAAAGCTTCATCAGTATGATATTGCACATTAAAAGCGTGTTCAATAAGCTTTTGCGACATATTTGGACAAAGCTTTTTTCGAAGACTGACTCTCATCAGTACCAGAAATACCAGTACTTATTAAGTGAGAAATAGCAAAAAGTTTGGGGCGAGACGTCCCCAGTATTCAATCCGAAAAAATGCTACACCTAGGAAGGGAGACACGTAAGACAAGAGAAAAACAGAACTCTAGAGCCCATCCTATAACGGCCAGGAGTCACAGTTAATAACTACGGATCCCTACATACCAGGTTCTTTTCTAAGTATTCTATAAGGAGTTTTCTCATTTAACCCTCATACCCTCTAACGTGAGTACTACTGCAACCCGTTTTACAGACGTGGAAATCGAGCTTCTCAAGGGTCACGTCAGGTCCGAGCTGGTAAACGGCATTCAGCAAGGGGGACCCTAGTGATCCCCAGAAGGCAGCTTCCCGCTCCGCGGTAGGTGTGGAACTCTGGTGGGGACAGGGCGGCTGTGGCCCCTCGGGTGGGAGTCAGGATTAGGGAAGCGGCGGCTTTAACAGTAGCCTAGCCCAAGGCAGGGGTAGGTACCTCAGAGATCACCATCCTTCACTTAACTCTCACAGCGCGAACAACCTCTCGGTTCGCGTAGTTTCATCGGTCCCGCGCTTTGGTCTCGAGTTAGGCCTCGCCCTAGGCACGGCGGCCCCAGCATGCACTGCGGCACTCACGCCCCGCCCCTAGCCCCTGGTTCACCTCCATAGACACTCACGCGATTCGTGGGGAGTCCCTCCCCTCCGGCAGTAGCGCGGACGCCTCCAAATCGTACCCTATCGCTCTCACGAGATCCTGTTTACGTCACAGCTCGTCGCCATCTTGGGTCCTGGCTGAGTAATAAATTCCCCCGCAGTAGAGCGCGCTCTTTCTTGAGACGCGCCTCGCTGAGAGTTTTACTTCTTCTGCGTTCCTGTGTGGCACTGCGGTCAGTGGTTTCCGCGTGGCCCGGAGCGAGGGTAGGCCCCGCGTAGCTTCTTTGCCCGGCTCCAAGATGGACGGCAGCGGGTACGGGGGAGGCAGCTGTGAGGGAGCACGTGGCGCACCACTCTTTTCCCGGGGCTTCTGGGATGGTGGCGGAGTCCCGAGGTCTCCTGCCACCGTCGGGCAGGGAGGCTGGCGGAGGCGGGGCCGCGGCCGCCCCTGAGAGGTGCCCTGGCGGCGGCGGTCCAGCCTCTTCTTTCCTCGCACAGCCAGGCGGCCCCCGCTCGAGGTGCGCGTCGCCATGGCCGCGGTTCCCGAGTTGTTGCAGCAGCAGGAGGAGGACCGCAGCAAGGTGAGGCCATTCCCACTCTCAGGTTCCAGAATGTGAGGCCCCGCCGACCTCCCAAAGCCCCACATTTCTTCCCCGGCCCCCCGGGGGCTCTGGGCCTTCTCGTGCACCCATATTTTGCCGCGAGGGGTTTCCCCACGCGTGAAGCACCCGCTGGACCCCGAGCGCTCTATGCTGTGTTGTCTCTGAGCACTGCCCTGGGAGCTTCCTGCGGAACCTGGGAGGAGAGAACCCGAGACGCGGGACCGTTGCTAGTAACGCGCGGCCCTGTGTCCGGTACCGAACAGGAGCGCGGCGCGTTTCTGGAGACCCGAGAATGTGTTCTTAAGTAGAAAGTTTTTTAAACTTTTCTTGGCTTCGTGAAGACTGGACGGGGAACGTAAAATCAACTTGTGCAATAAACAATTGGGTTTTGTAGTTTCCAAACTGTTCCCCTCCCCGCTTTGAGAAAAGTTTTTGGCCCACATACTGGGGAAATTCCATAAAATCTGAAGTATATTCCTTACAACTTTATAAATGCTAAAGACGTCATTGCGGGAGTTCTGTCATTTTTAGTAGGCCCTCAAATAATTTTTGAACTCGGTTTTTACTTTTATTTTGGGTGTTTATGTAAATTATCTCCATGCCGCTTAAGTCTTGATCTTGAGGTGTAGAAGGTAAACTAATGCAGTAATTCAGGTTACCGTAGACAAAGGTTTAGAAACAAGTCTCCGCTTTTTTATTGCTCCTTAACATTTGAGTTAGTTTCGCAATTCAGAGAGGTGGTTCTGAACCACAACATCATGTGCAGAATCTTCAACAGAAGGTTTTTCTGAGAGAAAGTGAAAAAAACCATGTAATCTAAAAATGCAAGGCGCTCTCAAATTTTAAGTAATCTGGAAGGAAGACATCTTAAAAAGTTAGAACTAGTTAGAAGTCTTATTTGGAGAGGCTATTTTTCATCTAGTACCAAAGTTCACGCCCAGCGAGCGTGCTTGGACTGTTCCAACATGGGTATGATTGCTGTATTAGTTATTGAAATGCAACATTGTGCATGAATAAGGTCTTGGTTGTATGTAGCATTTTTATTTGAAAGTTGAGAAGTAAATTGTTTTTACTAAAACCGAAAGTGGGAACTTGAGACTACCTTCTTTCTAGAACGTTCCAAAGGTAGTTTTTTCTCAATAAGTTTGGATGCTGACTAGGAGTTTTGATAGCAGTTTTATTCCCCCACTACACGCACTTCCTTCCTTGATTCAGAATCTTTTAGACAGCTATTTTAAAGGACTTTATTGCTTTAGCAGGCCTTCTTGTTAGTACAGCATATGGTAGCTGGTATTTAAAATAACATTCTGATGCTCCAGCAGAATTGGAGGTTTGTGAAGGCTATTTCCTGCCTCCTGGTTTTAGTGGCTATAACTACAGGAAAGGATTACATAGAATTATTTTATTTCTGATTTTTTAATTACAGAAATAAGGAAATAATAAGACAATAAAATATTACCCTAATACATGGCTTCATTTTGCTTCCTGATTTTAATAGATCACCTAGATGGTTTTTACTGTTAACTTGAAGGGAGTTTGGGATAAGTAAAATAACAAGAAAGCAAATCTTGGGCAAAACTTATACCATAATACAGTTTTGTTAATCGCCTGAAGTAGTCTACATTTTTGCTGGAAGTGTTTTAATTTTAAACTTACTGATTTCCACAAGAATGGGGGCTCATGAGATTTCGATCCACTAATAGAGTAGTGAACATAATTTATTCTTGAGGACTGAAAGGAACATTGGTCTATCTGGTAACCTGACACTTTCATTTAGCTGAAGGTACTGGGATTTGTCTTCTTTTCCCAAAAAAGCAGTCTAAGGGAAAAGTTGTGTGGTTTTTAACTAGTCCTTTACTGATGGGAAAGATTGTAATTTGATCTTTAAATTTAGAAAAGCAGGGTTTTTATTAAGCCTGGCTCCTGAAGAAGTTAAAGCATTAACACCATTGGGGCCCATCTTTGTGATAAACTACTCCTGTGCCGCCCCGGTGCCCCCCTTCCCACCCCACCCCACCCCCGAAGTGTCTGGAGTTTTTAGTGGGTAGGGTGAAAATTGGAGATCATGCAGAACTTGTTCCCATAAAAATAAGTTACACTGGCCTCTAGTCATTTTGCATCTTCTAGGTTCTCCAGGCCTTATGTTTGCCAAAAAGTAATTTAATACCTGGGCATCATGCTTAGGTTCCCACACATTCAGTGTGTATTTTTCTATGGTGATAAAGTCTCATGTCTCATCCCATTAGTGTAGCAAACCTATGACTTTTTCTTTTTTCTTTTTTTTTAATCTTAAATTGCTAATAGACTGAAGTAAGTTGAGCACATAGGAAAAGCTTTGCAAGGACTAGTGGTAGCCCTTCCCAGCCTAGTGGTATTACAACTTAGCCTTAACTTTCACTAGTTGGTTATCTTGGCTTTGGGTAGATAGTGTCTCCAGAGCCCGTTATTAATGTTTGTGCTGCTCTTATTTGCAGAGTTTTTTGTTAACTCTGGAAGTTGTCTCTAGGGACACTTGACTCCACCAGCTTGGGTGGAAGAGTGTCCTACATTTTGTTAGTATAGGAACAATCCTGAACTTTCACCAATACTGTAGCAAATCAAAGTTTACTAATTTTTGTGGACTGACATTTTCTAATTTGATAGCTTGACTTCATTTTTCTTTTTTAAACTCTGGAAGTACCACTTATCAAAGCTGCTCCAAGCCTTAGTTCTGGATCAGTAACTTGTGCACAGTATTGTAAGGTCCTAACACTTGTGAGTACTACTTTAGTGCAGGTCATGCATGATCTGCTTTTTTTTTTTTTGGCTGTAGAAAGAGCCAAGGGAGGCTATTATAGAAATATCTAGATTCTGAGATCTAAATTCTCATTTGGTGTGAGACCTAGTAAGTGACTAACATCTAATGTAGACCTATAGTTTAAACCAGGATTTCTCAACATGATCCCTATTGACGTTTGGGCTTGATAATTTGTTGTGAATTGTCCTATGCATTGTAGGATGTTTAGCAGTATACCTGGTCTCTGCTGGATGACAGTAGCTCTCTTCCCTCCAGTAGTGACAGTAAAAAATACTTACATGCAGACATTTTCAGATGTCCCTTTGTTGAGAATCACTGATTAAACTTTCCATTCTAAAATATGATATGTGTGGGTCAGGTTGTGTTACAGAGGCTAATCTTTAGTGTGTCCATTTTTTTCAAATCTATGCAATTGTAAGGAAATAGCATGCTGTATAAAACATAAGCACCATTGGCTATCTTTGGAATTAGCCCCTCCCCCCCCCAATATTGAGGAATCTTTATCAAAAGATGGTAAAAGGTGGTTTTCTTCAGCAAGTTGTGGGCAATTAGGATTACAAAGATTTACTGTGTTGGAATTCAGTGCCATCTGATGCCACAGCATTCAAAACATTGTGGGCTAGAGTTGAAACTCACTAAGAAATTTATTACAGGGTAGAACTTGGTTTAAAATCCTGCTTTTTAAACAGTTTGCTTTCTGGATTGTCAAGGCCTTGTTTGAGGAAATTAGACAAGAATAGTTCTGTCGGTTAGTGCCCTTCAACTAGCCAGTGGTGGAAATGCATGCAGTGAAGTTAGGTAGTATTTAGGGAAACAACCTTTTAATGAACCCAATTATTTTGAGGAAAGTGTTTTCAGAACATTGTAAGTTCTGCCTTTCCTTCGTGAAGGAGTGATGGAGGAAGGTGGCTGCAGGAGGACATCTTGTCTCACAAAAATGTGGCAAATTTGATTTTACAAATACAAATTGAGAAGTTGCTCTGCATGATGTTGCTTTCTAAAAAGATCCTTTTTCACTTCCACATCTGTTTACTTTCGGATTGGTCATTCAGTTATTCTTAAGACATAGCCCTTTCTAAAAGAGGGACATGGAATTTGTCAACTGTCTCATACCCCAAAGGCAAATTATAAATAACGGGGAGCATTGTGTAAGTTGCAGTCAGGAAGGCTTGAACTTCTTCAGTTCAGATATTGGGTCCTTGACTTGTCACCTTCCCTCGTTCTCTTTTACAAATTTGCTGTAACTTTCAGGCACCACTATGTGGTCTGAAGAGAAAAGTAATTTTTTTAGAACAACTGCTTATATTAACCTGTGGAATAAGTACAAATGCAGAAGCCAACTTCTTGGCTTTTGCCTGATCTTTCTTGAAAGCAGTACAAAGCTGCTGATGAGTGATAAAATGAGGTACTGGAATATTTACATCTAAATGAGTTGGGAAATGTGTGGTACCTCTGAAAGCAGAAGAAATCTCACCATGAAGCAGGCAGCCTTCTCTCCATGCTGCCATTGTGTCTCAAACTTATATAACAAGCTTAAGCTCAGACAGCTCTCTCCATGTTGCTGAATCTTTGGTGGTGGTGAGGGTAAGTTTTTTTTTCCCCCCCCAAACCTATTTCTATTCATTTTGGTTTGATCAGAAAAGTCAGGCAGTGGGTATTCTTAAATATCCTCAACGTGAGTAATGTATATAACATGTTAGGTTTGTTTATAGCAGAGGACTGTGGAGTTTTGATACACTGGGCAACTTTTAGGAGGGATCCTTAATGGGATTTGGTAGTAGGTGAAGGGCTTTAGCTTTGTGGAAGAAATTTCTCCTTTGTTCCAGCTCCTTCCTCTGTAGCAGTGCTTTGTTGATTCCCAGTAGTTTCTGTGCTAGGAGATCCTTAGAGATCATATAGTTCAACCGTTTCACTTTGTGAACTCATTTGAGAATAATCCAGGTATCTAATAATTAGATGGATTTCTTGAAATGAATAATGTTATTTAAGCCAATATTTCAACTGGGTATGTGTTGGGAGTTGATGAGTTCGTGGGCTTTGCAGCCTTGTGAAATGATGATTCAGTTTATCCATTCGCTGAGTACGCTGCACTGACCTTCTTCCAAGCCTCAGTTCCTGTTCTAGGAACTCAGGGCCATGTAGCCTCCAAATGCCCTGCAGTTTGTGGTGTTCTATCATGGAC